GACTACCTAGCATGCGACACTGCAGAAGTGCAGATTGACATCTCTCTTCTTGGGTCCTGGCTTGCCTGTGTAATAACGGGTAGGCGATCCAGAACCAGGGCCAACATCGACGCCGTTGTCGTAGCCATTGCCGCAATAACCAACCGCCTGGTTCAATTGCTGAATCTGCTGGCGATCCCTTCTCTCTTCAATCTCGCGCCAAAACGTCTGCAGCTCATGTACCTGACTTGTCCGGTTTGGGATACGCTGCTGTTCCCTACCGACGGCTCGTTGGATTGTTCTTTCGAGGGCCGAGCTAACGCATAGCAGAGCCTAGGCGTCGCCGTGGACGTCCTGTCAGAACTTAGAACCTTCGCACCGACGCTGTCAAAGCCTTCTTCGCTGCCTTCGATCGCTTGCGGCTTGGTTCTCACGGCTTTGGGGCTTGAGCCATTGCGTTCCTCCTCCTCCTCATGCCTCGGGTGCACACACTGCTGCCTTCATCTGGCGACTATCAGCCTTTCTGGGCCAGTCCCTGCAGAATGAAGAATCATGTCAGCAAACACCAGCCATTTCTTTGGACCCTCGATTGCTAACGCCTTTCCTTTTCTCACTGCACTGTGCCCCTCAATTTTAGCTCCCTCATCCTAGGTCCGGGCTGCCAGTGGAATCCATGGGAAATAAGCGATCCAGGTATTCCACATTGTAGCACAGTCGGCGGCGCCATGGCTGTCTAAACGGTGGTCAAAGCATCGTGGTTTGCGGCTTTCGGCTGCATTGCGAGATAGGGCGGGAGGAGAAGCAGGGGAAAAGGGGCGAAATGTTGCTTACAACGTGCCAAACGACGGGACTCAGGGAGAGCCTAGGAAAGACCCTCTTTCGACATGAACTCCCGCCCTCGATTGTCAAGACACGAGAAAGCACCACGCGTGCTGCGTGCAGCGTGCAATATTGAATGAGCGCGCCAACGAAAAATAATTAATGATTCTTGGGTCCTGTGGGGTGGCTCCTGCCTTGATGATTGGGACCCGTGGAGAATTGAGGGATCGGGAAAAGCGCCCAGTGCGACGAGTGTGCAGGGTACAAGATCGAATCCCTGCTGCTTACCGCGACTAGCGGTATCAAGGACCTCGGCTGGTCTTGGTTCTGTCTCCCGTCGCTTTTTGGCATCTTCGATCGGCCCGCCTGTTGTTTGGCTGCGTTCAGCTGGTGAAGATACCTACGGTGCCGGCTCATCGATGAGAATGAATGCCAACGTCGAGTTGTCATGCCCACAGTCAGCCGGCCTGTCGAACTACAACCTGCGCGTAAGGCTTCCGAGCGGCCCTTGGTGCAGCTGGCAACGACGCTGGAGTCGTTGAAATACGCAGTACACAACGCTTGCGCTGCACTGCACTCGGTTTGGAGGCGGGAGCATGTGGAACATTGCGACGCGGTTTGGCTTAGCGTCTTCCTGCTGCGCTCGGTGTAGGGGTGTTCCTAGATGGCCGCTGGAAGCTGATTTCCTGGTTTGGAGAGCTGCAAGCCTGCGAATCGACCGAGCTCATCTACGCCCATTCTTGAGCAGCGCTCTAGAAGCCTGCCTCAATCAGCACTGGCATGCCGTCCATAAAAGGAAAGTAGCTCATAGTTCTTTGACCTCAAGACAGACCGTCACGCGCGCGCCCGAGAGAGGTTGCTGCTCAGCGGCGACGGCACCGTGAAGCGCAGCATAGTACATTAGCCGAGTGAGAGATGACAACTCAAGCAACCGTGAGGTCTCGCAGGATCTCAATAGACTATTGACGTCGATTGCTACCCCCCAAGGCTGGCCTCCTGTGAGTACTGGCCACAAAGACATCCGATGCGCGCCATGAGACGACTTTCATCATCTACCTAAGTTAGCAGTGCAAGGCCAACCTGACCAATCAGTGATTGGCGGAAATTGGCAATGGATTGGTATTGTGTGCGTGTATTACTCGACGGTGGGCTTCCATTCTCCTGGAAATCGATAGTGCTGGCCAGACCCAGCCGCGACTGGGACTTGGGGACTTCGATGTGGTTGTCCTGTCTCTCTTTCTCTCTGGACAGGTGGGTGTTCGTTCGTTCGCTTGCTCGGTCCAGGTGGATGCCCCACGCCGTCGCCGACCGAAATCAAACGACACGACACGGCGCGGGCATGGTAGTTGGGACAAGGGTCTGGTTGGTGGTTTGCTGGGAGGTGGATGGCAAAAAGACGCCGTCACGCTGCGGCACAGCACACAGTGCTTCAGGCGCAGGCGTTCAATATGGGACGTGCTGTTGAGAACGTGGCCCCAGAGCGGAGACACACAGGGCAAGCTAAGGATGGATAGCGTGTGATTGCAGCGGCCACGGGTACGGAGCAAATGTCGTGAGCGTGGAGTCGAGGGTACTTTGTAGACTGTATCCGTCCATACTGCGGAGGATAGAAAGTACGAGCAGATATGTTACAGTCCCTGTCTGCTTGTTGATGGCTGCAACTCGAGACAAGAAAACACTGGGTCGATGCTGGTAGAGATTTCGGGGCTTCGGAGCGGATCTTGGAGGAGCACATGTTTGATGGGCAGACCGGGTTGTCAGGGCAGGCAAATGACAGGTCGAAGATGCGATTCTTTGCTCTGCTGCCGCGGCTATTGTACGGGTCCAAAGTGTTTCTTTGTACAAAGTCTAGTGGCACTGGAGCTTTGTGCCCGCCTCAAGTTGGAGAGCGGCGATTCCGTTGTGTATGTCTCGGAGTCGGAGAAGAGCGTATTAAGGTATTCGTGAGGTTGCATTGCGTTGCGCTGGGTCACGGACCTGAAGGCGGCAGCCGAGACAGGCGTGAGAACGAGAGCCGCGATTCTTTCCTGGAAGATGGATGGATCAACTGCCGTCGCAGACGTACGAGACAACGCGTGCTTATTCACACGTGGAGAGTATTCGGTAGGCATTCAGCTCGAATTGGTTGACGACAAAGAGATCTCAAAGCAACGCCCCAAGATGGCCAAGAGTCGAGCGGTGGGGAGAAAAGAAACGATGGCAGACGGGTTGAATCTTGATATGCGAGCTTTGACAGGGGCCGTCGTTCACCGGTCTGGCTCCCTGCTTGGGGCCTGGGGCAGGCCGCAGGGTGGTGGGATACGGCTGCTGGACATGGTCTCGTAATACATTGCTGTCCGTCGTCGTTCTTGACGAAAGGCGAAGTACGCGGCCATTGTTGAGTCTAGAATGCCGAGGTGCGAAGTCAAATCTCGGTACTAATCAAGCCTTTTTTCGACGTTGGATTGGAGTTGAAGAGGCTGACACGGGAAAGAAATCCAAGGAGGTCAAGACCAAGAACAAGGTGGGATGTCAGGCCTGACAAGGAAAGGCGCGCTGAAATTGACTTTTGTGCTCCCGAAGGAGAGATCTGGACGTTGCTCGATTCGTCCTGACAGCTTTGATGACAGCCTTTGGAGGACCAAGGACCTGGGGCAGATGGCTGGGCTTGCAAGGCTCGGCGGCGCGTGCTATGCTGGACGCGGCTTGGGCTGGGCTGAGCTGGGTCGGATTTACCGGTTTGCCGGGGGCCCATGACGAATGGAAGGTGATGGGGGGATTGGGACGCGGAGGGCCGGTGCGTCGTGCTCGAAGCCGTCCATTCAGAGTCAAGCCTACCACGCTTTGGTCCATGACTTGAGAAGTTGTAACCTTGGACTCTTCGAGTGTCAAGACTCCAAAAGTCGATGTAAAAAAGAGTGCAGCTGCAGGCTGCAGCAGCGGGCGAGCCCCTCCCCTTCCCCTCCGCTCTCCCATGTTCCAATGTGCCCCCATGAAGTGTGGGGCTGTGGAACGAAGCGGGGAGCAAGGGGGCCGAGATTGGTCCAAACCCATCCAAAAGAGCAGAGAAATCGATACGGACGGGGACATGGAGACACAAGCGTGGTCCGGAACAGGGGATATACGTATCTTTACCTACCTGACTGGGCAGGCAGGAGCTGCGGGTTTGCACGAAGAAAGGCAAGTGTCCACGGGAGGAGCAAGGCAGTGGCAGGGTACGTATCCGCCACCTCGCACTTAAGGTACCTATGGTTCATCGTGCAACTCCGGGCTCACTCTCACTCATGGCGACATCAGGTCGGATACAAGGTACATTTTAACCCCCATGAGGTCGATGGCGTTTTGAACACGCGATGAGAAGCTGGGCAACACGACAATCGGCCATGGGTCTACACTACGGGCTACGGATAATGTGGCTACCCAATTGGCTGTCATTACCTTTTCCCAGGACTCGACTAATACTACATAGTCAGTAATTGCTCATGAGCATTTGCTGGAGGATCGAGTACCTCAGGTAGAGCGAAGCAAGAGTGGACGCTATTCCCTATAAGGAAGTTAAGTCTAGATGTCTCCACACAGTGTACAGTGTCTCAGAGGGTACTTCGTCAGCTACCCGTACGGGTACCCGAGCGAGACGAGGAAAAAATGCAGGGTAAATGAGAGAATCAATGTTCAATGTATTGTGTGCCGGGCTGCAGTCTGCATGTAAGGTATCGCTCGCTCTGCCTGCAGATGCATGCGGGCTAAGCTACTGGATTGATTCGCCTTTGCGACTTACCATGGAACTTACCGTCATAGCCCATCAGTAAGGTGAGAGCAGAGGCCACCAACATGTTTGGGAAAATGACATTCGAAGGGATGCCTCAAGACATGGCCAGATTATTTCCTTCACTAACAGCAGAGTCTCTATGAACACAATCTGCCAGGATCACGAGCAGGAGCTGCTTGCTCTTCCTGTTGCTTTCTTCTACCCCTGGCACATCACACGCGAGCATGCTGACTTGGTCCACTGGATCGGTTTCTTTGATCAAACGAACTCGGACTCCGGAGCGAGCAACAGAAGATGCGTGTTTGGTGTCAAGTCAGGGGGGACTTGGTCTGCTCCGTGGCCCGTTCATCATCGGGCCCGTTTCTTATCGAAAGTTGTTGTTCTGCAGCATCTCGCGGCAGTACGACTTCACACAAGACAAGCAAGCCCTAGGTACACTGGGAAGCCACACAAGATGAAGAGGAGCGGTGGTGGCGGCGGCGGCGGCGGCGGCGGCAACACAGCATCGTGCAGAAAACGAATAATGTACTTCTCGGTCGTTGTCAACGATTTCCTTTCTCTTTCACGAAGCATCGCGACAGCAGACACCAGAACATGCGCACGGAGTACCATGCAGCTTAGATGCCTCACGCCCAGCATCGGCGTCAGTCAGCAATGGAAATGCCAGAGTGAGAGTCAGATCCAGGTCCCGGAGAGAACTGGCGAGCGGTTGCCGATCGAAGAACGCCTCCCCTTACCCTACCGCTCCTTCCCTGCAATTCCCCAGTCATAGTAAGTCTGTGTCTCTATGTCGCACCCCGTTGAGCCCAGTTCAACCGGATCTTTTCCGTGCACGTGACGATATGATCCTCCACCCCGGTCTAACACTTGTCAGAGAAAACGGTGGCTCTTGCTTCGCCTGATTCACTCACCACTTGCCTGCGGCCTGCCTGCTTTCCAGACTCCAGTATCCTCTTTCCCTTCCTGCACCGTGTATGTTCGTGGTTTCCGAGGCTTCGACCGACCTTGCCTGCTCCACACCACCAAACCGCTCTGCCCGATGCACTCGGGGAGTCGGGGCTGCAACTGACACGGCGTTTCGTTTCGTTCGACAAATTATCTGACCTCAACCGTCTTTCCTACCGACCTGTTGGCGCTTGTCGCTCAAGTCCGGCTCTACCCTCTTCTTTGTACTCTCGCAAGCGGATAACCCGTACGTACTCGTTCGCATCCCGCCAGACTTGTCCGCAGGACGTTAGAGACCGTGCGTGTGTGATGAGTTCGCGGCGCCTCGAACCGCGGTTCACACCCTCAACAACCTGGGGCACATGGGATCACTGCCGCTTTCGGTCTCCACGCAATATGACGGGATGGTTCGCAAGAGTCGCGTTCAACGGGGCAAGCGATACAGTCCAGCCTTGCGCTCGGTCGATGCTCTGAGCCCAAGTCAAGTTCGTTTCCGAATTCAGTGTACCTAAATGGGCGCGACTTTTATTGGTGTCGCTCGGAAGTCAACGGCTTGACGTAAATTGTATTTTGAGGGGTCGCACTCAAGTCTTTCAAGCCTGTTAGTCTGCGTAGACCAGATCTCGCAGCATTCCTCGGCCAAGGAATGGCTCTTGGTCTCTAGACTATCAAGGGCCAAATTCGGGAGGTAGCAGGCGGCTTCCATGGCGGATTCTCGTTTTCCCGCCTGGCAGTCGATGCAAGAGGAAGTCGTCCAGAAGCAGAAGCTATTCGACGGCATGCCATCTCGCCGGTACCCCGGCCATAGATGGGACGGTAGCTTCGTAACGACATGCTGACCATGTTGTGCCTAGGCTCCTACGATTCGCCGTTCCATGTACAAAACGGCTTGAACCAACAGTTCCCGGTTGAAGCAAATGCAATGGGATTTGGATTCCCATGTGATATTTCCAAGCAGTCAAGTGAATTGGAAAATGAAGGGGACTAAACTGATAGCACTGAAGAAAAGTGTCAGTGCAGTTTCCGGGGGCTTCACCGTTGTTGTTTCCCATCTAGAAGGACAACATCCCTTCTACTTCGTTTCCAGAGTATTACTCCATGATTGCAACGCGAACACGGCTGAGAGCTCCACGGGGGTAGTGAAAACGATAACGCCTATAATGCAGATCTCATCCAGCCGCAATACGACATCGTCAGAATTTCATAGGCGTGCTAGACGTGTTGGGCTGCCAAAGCTAGGCGACAAGAGTTTCGAGGGCATTTACTACTAGACCGGATACTAGGCATGGGTTCCGTATTGCTCTCGAATTCGACTCTGGAGCTCGACAAATCCAAGCGGCCGATGAGCCCCGCGAAGCATCGCCATCCACTGACCATTGGATGATTTCTGCCCAGCGATGACGCTCTCGATGTCGTTGATTGCACAGCGTCCAATTCCAAAATGGTTAGTGGCCGATCTCACGAGCCCGGAATTCAGCGTTTATCGGCCGAACCACGTTCTTCGGCTCTAGCAAGTTCAAGCTTGGCATTCTGCCCTGTCAAACGTCTTTTGACTCCAAGGCTAGACGTCTTTGGGAAGCAGAGTGGAAGAGCTAGTAAAGTGTGTGCACTGTCGTCCTCGAGAGCTTGCTACTAGCGAGGGTGCCCCAAAAAAGGGATGTCAGCAAGGATATGCTATTTTTCTTTCTTTTCAAGAATGCCATGCTGCTTGTAATAAAAAACCGACTCGGACAGTCCTCCTCATTACAGTCCATGGGTATGAACGACTGTTCGGCGAAATTACCGCGGTATCTAGACCAATCTTCGCAGGAACGACGAAGTGGGATTGTAATTCTGGGCATCTAGATCGCTGCCACCATCATACATAGCCCACATCACGAAGCACGTCCTGTCACCCCGGCTGTCTAGGGACGAACAGCGCCCGCTCCACAAAGCTTCCTTCCTGCTCCAGCCTCCGAGCTTCAGCAGCCCCTCTCTCCTCTGAGTTCCCGCCCGCCCCGGTGTGACAAGAGAGATCCTGCTCAAGCTGCACCATATCACAAAGCCTTGGCTCGGCCTTCGCCTTCCGGCTTGCGGAGGTAAAATTGCCGCGAAGAAGTGAAAAGGCCGGCTGGTTCCACGTCCACGTCCATGTTCTACGTGCTGACAAACGTGATTTTGCTGGTTGGAAGGGGAGCTTTTTTGGCTTTCAGGGGAGAGGGGCCGGCCCACGGTTGGTGCTGGGACTAGAGGAAGACGCGTTTCTTTCGTGAAGTTGCTTAAACGCGCTTCGCGTCGCGTCAGGATTTCCTACAGCAAAGCCCAAGCCGATCTGAGGATATTCTGTCTGGACGTGGATTATCTACTAGATGAAGCCGTTGTAGAAGTAATGGTAAGAACTTGCGAGGCAGAAGAGGCATTGGATTTGGGGAGTCGCTTTATTGGTCTTGTCTTGCGGCCACTTTGGGGGGAAATATCGAATCAATCATTCCGGAATTGCCATTCTGCTCAGACACATAAATGCCTTTGAGCTACCCTCTCTTGTTGTCATTATAGTCACCTTAGTTCTCACCGGTCTTGCCAAACTCATCCTACTTGCAGTGACAGTCTACTTCGGATTCGAGACCAGGCAGACTGTGATGAAGATTTGACTCGGGGCAGCAACACATCCTCCCCTCCCAATTGCCCCAGAATGCTACAATGTCATCGGTGTCTCTCAGAAACGCATGAGAAGTGCGGTCCAGACTCCAGGGGGGCGACATGGTATCCTCGAGCCAGATCTCCCCGGGCTGATGCCCCTCGTTCCCGGCGTCAGTCTTTGAGTTTGACCTAGTTCCGCCTCGGATCCAACGTCAAATCCGAGGAACACCGCGGATCGCGTGTGCCGGGGACAGGAGAGACTTCGCCACGCGGTATGCTGTTTGACTTTTCCATGGTGTGATGTCGCTGGATGTATGTTGTCGACTATCATTTTTCTTTGTCTTTGTTGCCCTTTTTCTCCGGTTGAGAGAGGTGCCCTCTTGCGGACTCGATATAGTTCAATCTCGCTCGGGACGAACCGTTCGTACATGTATGCATTCAGCTGTCGGCCTCACACACATCCTTGACTGGAGCCAAGTCGGGTGGGATAACCCGCAGTCTAGGGATTGGAAACAAGTGCGCGTGGGAAGACTTAGTAATACTACGGTATATACGACTTGTGGTATTTGGCGCTCCAATGAGAATTTTCCTTTCATCTACCGGAAGATCCTGAGTTTGCATATTCAAGTGGGAATAAAGTCAAATCTCGAACCTTCTTGGTAACCTTATTTGAGTGCCATCGACCTATCCCCCACATGTGGTGCGAAGAACAAGGTAATCCTAAGCGGCGAGTGATTCCGATTACAGCTCATGAGAGTTGAGCATTATGAGATATACAAAAACTGTTTACTCAAAGGCTGTGGGTGATGTGTCGATTTGCTTGGCCAATATTCTGAGGGCTGCCAGCCTTCGGATTCTCTCGTGTACAGTCTCTCGTCGAGTCTAACAGTATGGCAGAGACGTGTCAGAGCAGCTCCCAGCAATGAACTTCTGGTCGACCTTGGGCTTATCTGCTTCAAAGAGTTGCGCCGATGGATCAAGAACACGATTGATGATATGAACGACGCCCTAGGACCCAAACTCCCGTTAGCACGATTGGTTCCGAACAGTTCGAATCGACACAAGTTGGAGATCTTGTTTCTTTTTGCAGAAAAACAGAACGCACATTGGTAACCCTCAAATCTCCCTCCGTCACCGCCGCAACATCGTTCAACCACACCTGTCCATCCTTGACCTGCATGCCAACGTACAAGTACGACCCCGTCTGGATCCTGGTCGCAGTCTCGTTGAAGACGCTCGTGAGAAGCTGCGAATTGGGCACGTAGTGGTGCTGCACCAGATTGCCGAGCCACCACTTACCCTTTGGCGTCGGCAAAAAGGTGTTGAAGTACTGTCCCGTGTTTTTCTCAAAGGCGGCGTTCGAGGGCGCGAAGAAGGTGAAGTTCCAGGTGGGGACGGTGTCGAACGCTTCCGTGAAGCCCGCGGATTCGTCGAGAACCTCGGCGAGCGTTGTCAGGTCGCTCCTAGATTTGATAAAGTCTAGGAGCGTTGTCGTGTCGGAGGTCTTTGGGGGCACGTAGGTACCCGCCGGTTTGGATATGTAAGAGAGCGGTTTCCTCTCTGCGGCGGTCACCGCTGATATCGTTCCGAGAGTGAAGATTCTCAACAAATTGATAAGCTTCATGTTTTATGTGAATAACAAGGTTTGTCAAAGTAGTGCCGGGAGGAAAAGAAGTAAGATTCAACGACATGGGAAGTGGCAGTCTTTTACCGGCAGATTCACATGGACCAATATACCATGCTAAGTGGACTACAACACTCGTTGTATTCAATTCATTCCAAGTTCACCGCGACTAACCAATGGTCACCGGGTCAGTCTCCCGGGCCGGATCCATGCCCCGATAGTTGTCCCGGAATGCGGGGAACACGATGGAAAGATGATCCCCCGCAGATCGGGTCTTTCCCGGACGGGAAAGCTGCAGCGGAAATATCCTCCGGATGAAGTCGTATCTCTCTAGATGACAAGAGTTCATCGTTTTCTCGAAAGGCCCCTCATGAGTGTAGACCTTGGTTTAAAAGGGAGACATAGCTTCCATGGCGTCTTGATTCAGTCAACGTGCATGGATCCCATACTTCCCTACGAGAGTCCACACCATGCGATTTTTGACGTTCCTCGCTATCTTTACCGCAGTTCCCTCTACCCTAGGGGCCAGCAAGCCACAAATGGGTGAGAAAATTACCCGTCTCATAGAACTTGCAATCCAAAACTCAAAGTCAATGTCCTACTCACTTACATGTCCTCTGTTCCGAGATAGGTTGGAACTCGTGGAACACGTTCAAGCAGAATATCAACCAAACCCTGATTGAAGACACAGCAACAGCAATGGTAGAAAAGGGCCTAGCAAAGGCGGGATACAGCTACGTCGTCATGGATGAGGGCTGGCAGGCTCTCGAACGAGACGTCGAGGGCCGGCAGCAGCATAATGCTACCCGCTTCCCGTCTGGTATCTCGACACTCGCGGAGCACGTTCATACCCTAGACCTCAAGATTGGTCTCTACAGGTACTGTTCTTACTTCCATGGATGCTTCTCACTCTGCCTCCCTCTACTGCTTCTTTCCACTGGAAGAGGTCGAGCTGAAGAGCAGAAAGCGACTCGCGAAAACGAATGCTAACGAAAACCTAGTGACTCGGGGATCTTTGGCTGCGGCTTTACACCCGGCTCCTGGGGCTACGAAGAGCTCGATGCCCAAACCTACGCCGCCTGGGGCATCGACTATCTAAAGTACGACAACTGCGGCGGCTTCCACGCGGGCACGCACACCCAGCAGGAACGCTTCCAGACAATGTCGTCCGCCCTCCTGGCAACCGGTCACAAAATACTCTACAGTCTATGCCAGTGGGGCCACCAGTTCCCCTGGTACTGGGCGGACCAGGTCGGCGCTGCCTCATACCGTATGTCCGGCGACATTCACGCGCGGTTCGCGGAGGACAAGGCCAATATCTGCAAGACGGCGTACTGTCTTAACACCGGGTACGCCGGGGTGAGCGTGCTGACTATGATCCGGAAGATGAGAGAGATCTCGCCGTTCCAGGCAAAGGAGAGGGGTAGTTGGGCGGACATGGATATGTTGGAAGTAGGAGTCGGGTATAATCTCAGCGGAAAGATCGTGTACATGTCCGAGGTGGAGGAGCAGACGCACTTTTCGTTTTGGGCGGCGCTCAAGTCACCTCTCATCATCGGTGCCGACGTCACGAAGATTCGGGATTCATCGTTAAGGATTCTACTCAATGAGGACATCATCGCCATCTCTCAGGATGAGAGGGGCGAAGCTGTGAAGTACTTGCCTAGGTTGTCGAGGGAGGACGAGGTGCAGGTATGGGGAGGCGCCATCGAGACGGGAGCGTACCGGTACGTTGTCCTCGCCTTGAACTATGGGAGGAACAAGACGAGCATCGAGGTGCCATGGAAGGAGGTTGAAGGGTTGGAGGAGTGTCCCGGTGGAGGGTTGAAAGTGAAGGATGTATGGGCTGATGAGGATTCGGGGATCGTCAAGGAGAAGATCACTTTGGAAGGGGTGGCGGTCGGGCAGACCAAGGTTCTCTTGCTGTCTTGCTAGATATGCAGGAGGGTATCCTGGTAATTACATATCCGGCAGAGCTGCAACCAGTCCAAAATGAGCATCTGTGAGCCAACTCGTAGTTTAAACAATTAGATGGAGGTCTTCGGATGGGGCTTCATAGAAAGGAACAGAGTGTAAGTTTCTCATGTGTGTCTAGCCTTATTGATGCTTGTTTCATGTCTATATCTCGCTTGGACCGGATTGTCTTGAACTTGATAAAATCTAAGGCTTACAAGAAACAAACCAATCTCGAAGGTTGATGGAAAGAGGCGTGATCACAGACGGGTGAAAAAAATCAGATTGAATTTGGTGACTGTATTAATCTCATGGTAGTAAGTCCCAGCCATGATCTTTGGTCTCCATGGAGAAAGCCTCAGTAATCGGCTTCCAACATGTTCGGGGAGCTAGAGGCCGAGAAACGGCTATAGGACTGGCATCAGCGGCAAGCCTCAGTGTCTATTTCGTGGAACATTACACTAGTCTTTGTGTAATCCAATAGATTGATCCTTCCAAGCGAGGTCCTCGTTCATCCTTGCATCCCGGGTGGCTCGGCACTCTCAACTCTCCTATACCGGAGTGCGGAGCAAGTTCCGGACAATCCTCCGGCATCATCAACACAACGCAGAACATCCCACCGAGCACAACAAACCGCTTTTCATCAATAGGCTATGCGGCCCGAAAGCTCTACCGCCGGGAGCCGATGGGTGGTCTGTCAACTTGCGAGCCCATGTTTCTATTGGGAAGGTTTGTCCGCGGGGACGTATCCCATGACTAAGGCGTCGTGTCTCTTGGCCGTAATTCCCATGGAGCCAGAGGTCTGGGAGGCGAATAGGATGAATAGGAAAGTGATTACTTGAATGCGGTGCCCCAAAAGATGAGTTCCTAGTGAGTACGTTCCATCAGTCTCTTATGTCCTTTGAGAAAGCGGGCACTACAACTTGCTATCGATTACTCCAAGCCTGCCCACTTCGAAAGGAATCACAGGACAGAAAAACTTCAACCAAGTCAGAACTAGCAACATGACTCCTGAAGCCATCATAACAGAGAAAGTCCCAGTCACGAACAGCCTCAATAAGAGGTTAGTTGACGATGGCACGGACTTCAAGATGGGCGGCAACGCTTGTGTAAGTAAAATCGTGCTCTTAGTGCTCTTAACGCCCTCATCACTATCGTCACCACCGCGGCCCCTCCATGCTAACGCAGAGTGTTTTCACCTCAACAACAGAAGCGCAGCAAACACTGCCAGGAGAATATGGAAACAGTAGCCGGTCTCACGACTCCTCCGTTCTCTTCAGCAGAGATCATCAAGCAGGGAGAAAAGTCTCTGGCGGCCTCGCTCTTCTCCCCCAAGGTCACAGCCAAGATCTGGGGCGTGGCAAAACAAAGCTTCTCATCGGTATGAGCAACTCCCCTATGAGCTGCCGTAAGAATAGAAAGCTCCTTCATCTGCTAACAAATTTTTTTTTTCGGTGCAAAGTCTTCGCCACCGACCCTTTTCCCGGAGTACACCAAACCAGGCGGCACAAAGTACGTCTACCGCGAACTGGACTTTTAGACCTCGGGCTTCTTCCCCGGGTGTCTCTATCTCCTCCTCGAGCGAAGGCGTAGGCACCCCCATCTCTTGAAACGGCTAGGCTGGTCAGCAGAGGATGAGCCCAACTTACTACATCTCGAGTAACTCCCCCAGATGCCAATATTCCAAAACTTCAATCGACTGACCCGTGCACCAAGGTTCGCCTGTAAGTGGTGGACAGAAACCCTCCACCCCAACGCAGAGCTCAAGACGACACATGACCTGGGCTTCATGATCTTTCCCTGGGCACGACCCGCGTGGGAGCTTTCGGGTGACCGCAGATCCTTCGAGACGGCTTTAACGGCAGCTAGGTCGCTGTATAGCCGGTTTGACGCCACCGTGGGATCCATCCGGTCGTGGGACATCTGTGTAACGAAGCGATACAAGTTCCTGGACCCGAGTAAAGACTTTCTCGTGATCATTGTAAGCACCACCTCGCGACTACAGTCAACACTCTGTGAATTATATTATTAAACGGAAGCCAGGACAACATGATGAACCTCGACGTGATCTTCTGGGCTGCTTCCCAGCTTGGAGACGATGACATGTGGAACGCGGCTGTCAAGCACGCCGAAACGACGAGGGAGCACCACATTCGCCCGGACTCTTCCACCTTCCACGTTGTCAACTTTGACCAGGCGACCGGCGTGCCAAAGGAAAAGATTACAAATCAGGGATATTCTGACACGTCCTCATGGTCGAGGGGACAGGCGTGGGCTGTCGCCGGATTCGCGCAGACTTATGGCTGGACACGGGACACATCTTTCCTCGATACAGCCATCTCGTGTGCGGACTATTTTCTTGAGCAGCTCCCTTCGAGCGGGATCCCGCCGTGGGACTTTGCTGCGCCCAAAGACATGGCACAACCTCCGGATGTCAGTGCCTCCATGATTGCGGCGTATGGCATGTTGCTCATTCACGAGGCTCTGACGGCGCTTGGAAGGCCATCAACGTACCTGAGAAGCGCTATCGGTCTCACTCGCGCTACCTGTAACAACCACATCAATAGTGGCGGATTCTATGTGAAGTCTCAAAGGTCGATCGATACGGTCGAGCACGGCACGGTGGTTGAAGAAGTAGGTTGGGAAGTGGAAATGGGGGATGAGCCGGAGACCATATTGAATGGGGCAACCATCAACAACTACGAATTTGCGCCGCGAAGGTGGGCAAACCACGGACTGGTGTATGCTGACTACTTCTTTCTGCTGGTGGGGAACAAGCTTCTGGAAATGGGCGTCCCAGAGTTGTTTGACGAGAACCGGTCTTGAGCATTTGAACGCAGAGAATGACTGAAGTATATTTAGAGAGTCTTGTCTGATGAATTATTCGTAAATGATGTAAATATGCATCTTTAAGTCTGAGCTTATAGAGCCAATGGATTATGTTTATCGTCATCATTCGCCTGCAGATGCGTTAACTACTCTTTCTCTGCTGCCCCCGAGAACATACTGATTCGCTGGTTCGGCAAGAAGGAGTAGTCCAAGTAAGCGTTGAGATCCTCAAAATCTCCAACTGGGTGATGTATGTTGTCATGGTTATTTACAACGCCGACGTCGAAGTGATCGTATCCATTCGCGTGGCTTGGCATTATCGCACCGCCAGGCACTGGTGACGGCATGGCCGTCGGGCCTCTGCTCGTACTTTGCGCATGGAACGCTATCGGAAGCGGAGGAAATGCCAGAGATATACTGTCAGGGGATGCCTCTTGTTCAAAGTCCATGGTAGAAGTTCCAAGGCCGCCGACGAAGGACTCTTGGCCGGTGCCTTGACTCGGCGAGAATGCAATATCTCGATGATTCGATCTAACACGAGACACCCCAGGAGTCCTTGGGTTATCTCCAGTCGGCAGGGAGATTGTGTCTGGACGGGCATCATCCGAGTAGACTGCCTGCCGTATGTCGAGCATTCCCCTGCCCTGATGCCGCGCTTGAACCAGCCGGCCGGCAAATTTGGATGCTAGGTTGTCGGACACATCGCCAAGACCGTTCCATCTTTGAGCTATGATGTTAAGACTGTTTACTAGTGAATCAAAGCCATCCGGAAGAGCAACGTTGTAGTAGGTTGAATGGGCCAGAAACATTCGTCCACAGATGAAGAGGCAAAACGCGAATTGTGGGCTGATGACTTGCTGCGAATCTTGTAGAAATTTCTCTGCAATGATAGCCACCTCTGTTGCGGCAGCCATGCACGTTTCGGCACTAGATGCTGAAGGTAGTCGTATTCCAGTAGCTTGCCATTCGGGCAATGGATAGGCGACGCCCTGATGAAGCAGCACTACGCTCGAATTGTGCGTCAGGTGAGCGAGAGTGAGATTGGGGTCCATGATGCCGTCCACGTTGAGAACGCATGCCTCCCGCCACTGTTCGGGAAGGAATATTTTCCACCTGTAGGGTGTCAGTGTCTCTCTCGAAATCAATGATTACTGGAAGACTCACTGTACGAGACGCAAGTCAAGTTGTTTGAACTTCATCAACCAGACTTGAATCTCGTGTGGCTTGGAGACATCAATAGCTTGCTGAAGAAAGAAGGACGTCACCAGACTAAGACTCTCGGTGGCTTCGATGCAATACGCAAAACCTCCGAGTGAATCCTGAGCTGCCTCTTCTAAACGCGCGGTAGGAAGGGTTCCACTGGAACCGCTGGACTGATCAGCTACACCGAAATATGGTGTTGGGGTTTGGAGCGGTTCTCCATTCTCCCAAAGCGCCCCTTCGCAGGGTAGACGTCGTTTCACGTCCGCGCTGGTGAGAGAAAAGTTCCAACCTGTTGCGACACTGCAGAACCTGTCCATCAGAAAGATATTCCAGAAAACTCGACGCCTCTCTTCTCGTTCGCTCCAGCTTCGACATAGCGGCAGGAATGCCATACGCTTTATGAGATGCTTCGCAGCCGGTGGTTGGTCTTCATCTTCGACACTGAGCTGTAGCTGCTCAACTGTTCGGGTCATGCTACCAACGATAGACTAGCAACACGTAAGTATGGACCAAATGTGAGGCGACGTGCCACTAACCCAAGCGGATGGACCTCTGCCACTGCCGATCTGTGTTCATTGATCAGCTAAGTTATTTGAACTTAACTTGAATACATATTCGGGACTGTACTCACGGTGTCAAAGGCAATTATTGTCAGAGCTTGAAGATTCTCCACTGAGAAGGACTCCATGCTGTTCAGTATCACAAATTGCCGACATCTTCGTGCCCTGCGTGTCTTTTCCTCATGCAGCCCTAGGCGGGGATCTTGGGAGAACCTTGCACACAAAGAAACTATGGCATGAAAGATGGTGTTGAGATGGGGACGTTGGGCTGGGTCCTGCATCCTCTCCCGAAATTGGCGCACGTGAAGCATAGGAATCCAGGGGTGAATGTTGGAAAAGTAAATATCGACAAGAGCGTCCATGAGGTCCAGCTCTGGCAGTAGGTCTGCTTCGATCATGGGATCGAAATTGAGACTTGTTCGCGCTGGCTTTTCCGTCGCCTTTTCCGGAGTGGCAGTGTCTTTCGTCGGAATGGTTGCAAGTGTTGTCAACGCAGGCTCTCCACCTTCGGCCAGGGTTGCGAGAGTGTTTTTGAGCGCAGTCGTTCTCTCGTTGAGCGACACATTCGAAGAGTCGTCTTGGCTCGGACTGGGGGCATTACGGCTGGCTGCCGAATTCAAGCAGTTGAAGACCTGTTGCCACAGGACTCCTTGACCTAGGAACATGTTTTCGAGCGTGGCTTTAAGCAGATATCAGCTTCATGATAACATTTCTAAAGACTCGCCAGACGCATACCGACTCTCTGGCTGAGGTTCTCAACGGCACCAGTGCGCAGTCCCGGTTTTGATCTTCTGTCATCGTATACACATTCTACATCTGGATATGGAATTAGGTGAGCTCCTCATTGGCGTCAGAGCAGAGACTGACTGTATCGTACACATGCCGAGCAAGGCTGCCGCCTTGAGCATCTAGCCTTCTTCTTTCGACAGGATTGACAGCTTAAGACGTCGTATCAGCATGAATTGGTCGATTGCGCCGTGGTCAATTCGGGGAGTATCTCACGCGGGGCCTTCAGTATCCACGCCATTCGCTTGCGCACTTGAGTTTGTCCGCCTCTTCTTGGGTCGGGGCTGGCTGTCTTCCTCGCCGCCTGAGCGACCGGACAGCACCTCGTCGTCGTCTTCGAAGACCATCGCGCATGCAGGAACCGCGGAAGGAAAAAAGAGTCAAGAATGAGGAGGGAAATTGAAGGATGCAACGACGGGAATTTCCTTCCCTCACATTCTTTTCCAGATCATGGCAGGAGCTATCTAATTGATTCGTCCATCTCCCGTCACTATCCAAACCAAGCGAAAACGCCGCTGTCGCAAGCCACTTTTGGGGATCATGTCGGGGTAAGACCTGAACGTGGAGAAGGTGCATGCGGGGAAGAACTAGGCATCCCTCACAATAACATGCCACTGGACCGCTAAAAGAAGCCACTATGGAGGGGATCCTTGACTTGCGAGCCTGTTGATCGTCGCTGTAACCGTTACTTTTCCTCGTCTGAACGCTTCTGAGACTGTGATACTACAGCCGTAGAGGCCGGATGAACGACTTGACCATGAGCATTTGAGGGTTTGAAAGAGACATTATATCCTTAGATCTTGACTCTAGCTTCACATGGTATGAATTGTCCTTTTTCAGATCAAAATTTCTCACTTAATTCTCATGGTAGTAACAGCAATTGACCGGGAGTCAACATAGGCGCGAGGTATGGAAGATGCCTCCTTAAAAAGACGGATAAGCAAGTAATCTCGATAACCTCGGATAGTCAAAATGACAAGAGGAGGCCGGGGAGCTTAGCGTAACCCCGAATCTTGATCTGTCTAGTCTCAATCAGAGCCTTCTGCCCTTACACTAATGCATAGCAACGCCCCCGGTCTCTGAACTGACGATCTGCCCGCCAACCCCAGCTCCGGGCGCGGGCGAGGTCCCGGAGACTGCCCCGAGGAGACATTCCGCCCGCAACATTTGCCCCGGATCACCATCAGTCCACGTTTTTGTTCTCTAGGAGCGTCTCTGACTCCGTCGTTCCGGGCTCGTGAAAGCTGGGGTCCCCAGAGTTTCAATATTGGTTGCATATAGAGGCTTACGATCCAGGGAAATCCGGGGTAAGCCATGAGACAATATCAAGCAGCCTCAGTTACAATAGGTCTGAAGAAGAACAACTCCATTGCACTGCAGCAACCTGAGCGCCGTACATCATGAAGCAGGGTCATACCGACAAGGAAAGTGGCGACAATGCCATCGCGCCGGCACCTTCTCATGTGGCTTATGAGCACCAGGAGGGAGACAAGTCGGTGAGTTTACTCCTTCAGTATCGCAGAACCATGGCTCAGTCGTAGAAGAGGAGGGTTGAAGGTGACGTAGGGGTTGGGGAGCTTTCGACTACCATGCATTTCATATGGAGATAGTATTCGGCTAATACACCCCACAGGCCAACGGATATGCTGATGCTCAAGCGATCTATGTTGACGACAAGACAAGCAAGGAGCTTTTCTGGACGATTAACAGACGAATCCTGGCTTGTATGCTGGGCACATACTTCTGCCAGTCCCTCGACAAAGGCACCCTTGGCTTTGCCTCCATCATGAACATCAAACAAGATGCCAACCTCGTGGGCCAACAGTTCAGGTAAAACAATACCTTCTATCCGTAACCGGGAAAAGAAGGTTTCGAAGAGCAACAGCTTACTTTCTGTTAACTAGCTGGCTCGGAACCATTCTGTATATGGGTGTTCTCGTTGGAGAGTACCCGACCAATTTGCTTCTGCAGAAACTCCCCGTCGCAAAATATCTCGCCGCCAATGTTTTCTGCTGGGGCATTGTAATTGCATGCTCGGCTGCCGCCAAGAACTTCACAGCCTTGATGATTGTCAGATTCCTGCTCGGAGTATTTGAGTCTTGCGTTCAGCCGGCTTTCATCATCATGTTTGTCAACCCTAGCCGCCTGAATGGTAGACAATCCTGCTGACACAAAACTTATAGGACTTCAATGTGGGTATGTAGTTACCCTGTCTCTAGCTCCAGTATTCCTCCTGTCTTGCTAACAAAGAAACTGCAATTTAGTACACAAAAAGAGAACAGTCAATTCTGACTTCCCTGTGGTACTGTATGAGCGGAGTCCAACTAATGGCACGTCTACATCCTTCCAAAGGCCTGAAGCCTCCACAACACTCGACTAACACAAGCAACGTAGATCGGTGGCATCATCGCCTGGGGAGCCTCTCACTACAACGGTCATGAGATCAAG